AAAACACAGAAACAAAACAACAATATGCCCAGACTATGTCCAGACTCCTCTTAGCACGCCCCCAAGACTCACTTCTTAGATACTGTTTGCTGTTTTTGATGCTTTTTCTGAGCCTCCCCCTTTCATATGTCGCATGATGTCGCATGTGCGATTTATTCACCTTCCTTCCCCACATTCTGCATTTGCGGTTTACTCACTTGTTTGCTTACATATTCCAATGTGTAATCCTTTACAAGCAAACGTGCAAAAGGAAATATCCTATGCACTTAGTGAAACAAGACGTGAGAACACACAACCTTGCATTTAAGAAATGGATATGTATATATATATACTTTTTGATCTCGATTTGTGTTTGTATGGTGGATAGGTTTGAGCAGATGCCATGAAACTGAAAGTGCTCCGTTAAAGTTGAAGCTGGACCTTGCATTTGCCAGCCTTCCAGGTGTTCTGATGCCCGAAGCGCATTCCTTGTCAACGTTGTTGAAGGCCCTGAAGCAACATCGTTCAACACCTTTGAAGCTAGTGGCGCGAGCATCAGATCTCCTACGTGTGGTTGGCCTCTTGCACACAGACCTCTCGAAAGATGTGCGCTGCCGGGACATGGAGCTTTTTCAGGAGATGTGGAGGGACATGGCGGATCAGTGATCGCAATCGCACTGCGCTACTGGTGAAGAGTGGGGCCTATAACTTCGATCGGGTGCAGAAGATGCGGGATAGGCTTTTGCTCGATCTTGGATCCGCGTCGTCGCACTTGTATCATCAGCAACGGGTGGAGGTGTTGCATTCATTGTTGAAGGCTCGCCAGGGAGCACAACAACTTCATCACTCCAGCAGTCTGCTGCGCATGACAAAGAAACATGTACCCTTCAATTGAGTGGGGTATTTACTCAGTTCGCAATCAATTGTTCTCAATGTCTTTGTCCGAGAATTTGTCGAGAATGTTGATGAAATCACGTTGGAAAATAGCCATTAAGGCATGCTCCCAGTCTGAGGCGATGCGGGATGTTGCGGAATAAATTGTAACAGTCAGGGTGGTTGGCCTGTGGAGGAGGGGTGGGTTAATTTAAGGTTATGCTGGACCGGGGAACTGGACATAGTTCATAATTAGTGGGTTTGCGAGACTCAGCCAGTTTGCCGTCCCCCAGGTAAATTTTTTAATGTCAAGACCTGAGTTATAACCCCCCCAACGTGGTAGGTAGGTCAACAAGGTCAAGAAGATATGAGATACCGCTCATGAGGTCCACCTCCCCTGAATAATCTGCTAATCGGCTAAGAAGCGAGTAGCTGCAGCAGTAGCAGCAGCAGCAGTAGCAGCAGCAGCAGTAGTCGTAGTTGTAGTTGTAGTTGTAGTCGTAGTCGTAGTCGTCGGAGGGAGGGAGGGAGGGAGGGAGGTAGGTAGGTAGGTAGGTAGGTAGTAGTAGTGGTAGTAGTAGTAGTAGCAGTAGTAGTAGTAGGTGGTAGTAGTAGTAGTAGTGGTAGTGGTAGTGGTAGTAGTAGTAGTGGTGGTGGTGGTGGCGGTGGTGGTAGTAGTAGTAGTCGTAGTAGTAGTGGTAGTAGTAGTAGTAGTGGTGGTGGTGGTGGTGGTGGTAGCGGTAGTTGTATTGGTAGTGGTAGTGGTAAGAAGTAAGTAGTAAGTAGTAAGTAGTAGTAGTGGTGAGAAGTAAGAAGTAAGAAGTAAGTAGTAAGTAGTAAGTAGTAAGTAGTAAGTAGTAAGTAGTAAGTAGTAAGTAGTAAGTAGTAGTAGTAGTAGTAGTAGTAGTAGTAGTAGTAGTAGTAGTAG